CAGTATAGCACCGATGAAAAGCACAACTTTCCTCTAGTTCTTTGGTGTTTCCTTCCCCCTACCATCATGACCTCAATTCTACCTCACAAATTGGAATATACCAGAATATGCACACTGCTACAGATAAGAGCCTGCAACACAAGGAACCCAGTATAGATAAACCCCTCAGGAACAACAAGGAGAGTAGAGATACCAGGAGGATTAGGGGAGGTGGGGGGAGAAAGGAGGAATCAATCACAAGGATCAATCTAGAACCCCCTCCTAGGGGGACGAATAATGGAAAAGTGGGTGAGGGGCAAGAGAGGATGATGTAAGATATGGAAATAATAATCTATTACTTATCAAGTGTTCTGGAAGAGGGTGGGTGTGGGAGGGAGGGGGAAGAAATGGGGAGCTGATATCAGGGGCTCAAGTTGGAAGAGAATGCTTGCAAAATGATGATGACGGCGTATGTGCAAAGGTGCTTGACACATTGCAGGAATGTATGGGTTGTGATAAGAGATGTAAGAGTCCCCAATACAAGTATTTTTTTTAAGTCCCTATGAGTTAGAATCTACTGGATGGCAGTGAGTTTGAATTATCTAGAGGAAGCTCTTCATCATTTGGCCTGGTGTGGAGTAGCTCCTCCAGACTGTTGAACATGTAAGGTTGTATAGAGTCAAAGGTTAAACTAGCTAGCATAGGAGTTCACAGAAGGAAGCATCTTTCCAAGGGTTATAACAATCAGGACTGCAGTATATGAGTGGGGTCAGGATTCTGAGCTGGGCCACGCAGGCAGCTTGGGATGAGCAGAATAGAGAGGCTAGAACAGCGGATTTTCAACTAGTGGCTGCAGAGCTGTGGTTTCTTCCACCTGGGGTCTTGGAGGTACTTGAGGGACATCAAAGGGAGAAGGGAAGGTAAATCAGTGTGTTTTGGTTCCCAGCCTACCTTTGATGGGAGCAGTTCCTCTCAATTTTGCTTATGAACTGGGAATCTGAGTAGGATTTCATTAGGAAAAAAAGGTTCCATTGCTTTAAAAATGAGCTGTCATAGCACAGTGCGGTGGTTCTAAACCTTCCTAATGCCACGGCACTTTAATACAGTTCCTCATGTTGTGGTGACTCCCCTACCATAAAATTATTTTTGTTGCTACTGGTATGAATCGGGCGACCCTGTGAAAGGATCGTTCAACCCCCAAAGGGGTTGTGACCCACAGGTTGAGAACCGCTGGCATAGTGGGTTATACATTGGTCTGCTAATCACAAAGTCAGTGGTTCAAACTCACCAGAGGAAATATGAGGCTTTTTGTTTCCATAAAGTTTGACAGCCTTGGAAACTCACAGGGGAAGTTCAACTCTGTCCTATAGAGTCATTATGAGCCAGAATACCCTCAATGACAGTGAGACTGCCTGAAAAATATTTAAACGTCTCTATGTCATTCCAAAAGAGTCCTGTAGAATGAATTTATTTTCACCAACCAAGGTAGAGTATCATATGTTACCAATGTGGAAGTCTCTACAATGCAAAGGTACAACTTCAAATATTGCTTCTGGTTTCTAATTCTTTAAAAGAGTTTATCTTTATAAGGAAAGCACTTCATTATGAACTTTAAAAAAACCCAGATGCTAATTGACCCCTGTTAACAATCAATCTATGTATCTAAAGAACTCTAAAGTCTAGATGTTAAAAAGAACTAAAAATCACTCTAACTTTTTAAAAAACAGCCATCACCTAACATCCTCGAATTGTGGACTGCCAACAATTCATTCTGCTAAGATGAGCTAGGGCAAGTTTTCAAACACTTTGCCATTTCACATCAGGATCATGACAGCTATAGTGTTAATTAGAGGAAATGCAGTACCATTTGTAATCAAAACTATTTATACATGCTTATTTTTAAAAGTCTCTGCATCACTGTCGAGATGATTGAATGAGAGAGTAAACCTCATTTATGGTTATGAAAATGTGTGTATAATGTAGTCACCTTTATATATTTCCATATAATTTGACCAGCAATAGCCCTTCTCCCTGTCGAGGTAGCCTTCAGCTGAGGAACATATTTTTTGGGTTGTGGACGGGATCTCAGAGTCTTTTGGTTGAGCAACCTGGGTTATAACTTGCTCCTCTCTGTTTCAAGTGTAATGCCATATGCAGATTTCCCCATGCTTTGTGATCATGCTAAAGATGACCGAGTCGATTGAACAGAAATAGCCTCTTACTCTTTGTCAAGTCTGACCCCACTTATATAATAATATCGCGATTAAGAGAGCAGAAGGTTGACATAGATTAGCCTCACATAGAAAACAATTCAGAGAACTCTTTAGATTTATTTTTCAAATCCCTATGACATCTTATTCCATCTATTAAAGATGCCTTCTCAGTGATGCTTTCCTTAGGCGAATATTAAATTAGTGTGTGTTCTCAGAGCTCATGCCACCTGACTGCAAGCACATCCTCTAGATCATTTTGGCGACCAGCTGCGATCCAAACATGTTTACACAGAGAATTAGGAGGCGGCAGAATGAAAACTGTACAAGTGTGAACAATAGCTGAGTTCAGCGACAGGATGTGAGTTGTCAGTGGTGCCATTCTTGTGGTAAAGCCATTTTCTTAATCGGGTAAATGATAGGCATTTGGGCTGCTCTTTGGAGCAATGCTTTGGTTTGCCACACTTCAGGAAAAGTCATGGTAGTAGCACACTGTTGTCTAGGCAGAGCTTGTGCTGGGAATGGAGAGAAATTTGGAAGTGGTTGCAAAGCATGGGCTGAAAATGAACCTAGATTGACAGGATTACAAAGCACCAGTATCAGGTGTCTGTTTAGTTTCAGGTAGACTTTTAAATTTGATAATTGTCTCGTGTCCACTTAGTCACGTGTTTCAAGTGGAAATCACTTTAGAAAATTCTACCTACAGGCAACACATAAAATATGTGCATTGCCAGCCATTCATTTCTAACTCCAGGCTTACCTTCCTGGACAGACTTCAGAGCCTTTGAGCTTGGATTATCAGATGTTAAAGAATTATTAATCTAAGCAATACCTACTAAATTTATAAGCTAAGCCAAACCCTATACATTTGGTCAGCCATTTGCCAATGAAACATTACATCCCTAATCCAAATTATTCTTGTACACCCAGTGCTATTATGTCTCTCCATTAGAATGGATAATCAAATGTTACATACTTATTAATATCCAATGCCCCAAACCATGCTCCCGTCAACTAATGGTTTCACAAGTCACAAGAACAGCTAACAAGATGTTCGGTTTGAACCCTCTCCATCCTGAGAGAGTGTAGTGTCTCTCTACACTAGTGACTAGCATTACTAGAACCTGTCTGGTACCGTCCTAATCTGAAAGGCGAGAAAGAGACCAGGTCCCAGGGATCAAGTGCCAGTTCTGTTCCTTGTTGTCAGTGTGACCTTGAGCAAGCTGATTCATCTCTTGCACTTCCATTTTCTTATCTGCCAAAGGAAAAGAACTGAATCAGCCAAGAACCGCTGGCCTGTGAGGAAACAGGGAGGCAAAAGATGTGAAGGGGCTCTGGAAAACCCAAACCCCAAACCAGAAACTCTAAAGAAGGCATAGGAGGCGTTCTGTGTCTATAACCAACAGCCTGTGCCAGGTGTCGATGCAAATCGGGAGCCAAAGAACCGATTGGACCCTTGCAAGAATGGCCAGGGCTTATTTGGGGTGAGGAGAGTTTCAGAAAGGTGTTGTAATCATAGGAGGGCGCTGGATGGAAGAGTGTTCTACATCGACGGCGATCATATGGGTACACATTATCTTAGAATAAAAACAATCATTCTCTAGAGACTTTGCACTTTTTTCTAAGAACAAAATTCCATATTCCAACGTAGGACACAACCACGCTTTACTATCAACAGTGCGTTTCCTCCAGGGAAGCTGACAGAGATCTTCATGACAGCCTTCATGGTTTCTCAGTAAATGCTGAAAACAACACCCCCCCAAATGAAAAAAGCAAAAGCAAACCAACAATCCCTCAGCTCCCACCTCAAAAAACTTCCAGATGGAATAACTGAAAAATCATTTTCTAAAACCAAAACAAAAAGCGGAGCCATTGTTCAATCGCTCACAGCAACAGTAGCTGCCTTCATGTAAACTGACGCTCGGGCGGAGGCCTCCAGCCTTTGCAGACAATTGTTTCGAGTTTATTGTTGTTGCTTGGGAAGAGAACAGATGTCAGGGAAGGATTACATTGGAATAGTCACCTGCAAATGATAAGCTCTTTGAAAACAAACAGAATCATAAAGACAACCTTATAGAATCTTTGTTCTTTGTGTCATAGAAAAAAATCTTGTCACATGAGGTGTTAATGGAGAGAGCAATTTGGGGAGGATAGGGAAGTTTCTCAAGGAGGAAAAAAAAGTATTGGGCAGGATGAGGCAGAGCCTATTGCGAAGTGAAAGAGTGTGAGGCCTGCTAGCCGTGCACTGTGTGTAGCACAATGGCCAAGGTGTCATTTCCTGTGTAGCAGTTTATATGGTGGAATGATGAAGGGGCAATGGGTTGTTGGGTTGTAGGTTCTTTTGTTGCTCTTGTTCCTTGGGCTTTTTATTAATGTCCTGTAGGATTTGTGTGTGTGTGTGTGTGTGTGTGTGTGTGTGTGTGTCTTCTGTGTTTAGCAGCATCCATCTGTAGTTGAATTCATTGTGGGTAATGGCCTGTATAACCTTAGAGGTTCGGGATCTCAGGCAGGAAGGGCAGGGCGAAGAGCAAGATGTGTGCAAACTAACACTCCCCTTGGGAGAACTGAAATGACAGCTCCTTAGCAACGCTTGCAGGGAAA